CACACACTCGACGAGTACCTGCGGTGGCTTCATAGGTCTACGGGGACACATATGAAGCCCCCCATACACTAAGGAGGCGATTGACGAGGACTCAGAGGAAGATGTGATCGAAGATGTGTACGACGTTGCCACTAGGGCCTACACACAGCTACAGAGAGCCCCGCTTCAAAGATACGTGGTAAGATACTCAAATGGTACAATTTGTTATCCATTTGATATTAAGTATGTATACTAAAACAGTCCAACCGCGTTTCTGTACCTAGGCGACATAATTGTCAAGGATGTCCAACGAAGCAGCGTTTCGGCTTCACGAGTCTAGAGGGCAGGGGCCAGGCGTTCTCGAAGCTTTTGTGGAGGTAAACATAAACTTGTCCGTTCCAAAAATGTTTCTTTAGTGTATATGCATTTGGGAAATGCACTAACTTTAACGTCTATTTATGCAGAAGGTGAAGCGAAGCTGCAGGAAGCTAGCTCAGAAGTTGAGCTGCATGGATACTCCATGGGTGGAACCGACCGGTAGTCCCGGCGCGGTCGGGTGGCACCTCTTCTGGCTCTTTGAGGACACCAGCCGGCTCTTCTCAGCCGGTGACAGGTGCCACTTCTGTAGTGCGTACACCACCACATTATAGCGCTAGGAAGGACCCTGCAAACGAGGACAACGAGGACGACGACGACGACCCCGGGCTTTCATAGACAGCAGCACCAGTGGGACCCTTGGCCGTAGGACGAGATCGGCATGTCTCAAGCTAGGTGGTGCCCCGCTTGGTACCCAAGGAGCCTCACAGGTAGTAACAAAGATAGCTTCTTTAAATACGTAGGCTACATGAACTAACGATCATAAATATTATAAGTAATCGTGCATATCATATACTTGCAGGGTACGAGCCGTACGCACCGACAATGCGACCATACCGACGTTGGCTACACCCCCAATGTGTTGCCAATAAATCCAAAGAGATAGAGGCGTCCGAGGGATCCTTACACTCCTGGGTCTTAGTTTGTTGGATCGAACGAATATTGTCGTCCGAAACTTGTAGGCTTAGTTGGTTATGTTATGTCGAACTTATGTCGAACCAATAAAAATGTTATGTGGCAGCTTGTCAACTTGCGCACGGACTTCATTTATTTGCTTCATATTCGTTTCAATGCGTCGTGGTAGCACTACCGGTGAGATTAACTAGCAACTAGTTCGGAAACCATTAGTCCCGACGTATCTCGCCGTCGATAGTCCGCGTCTTGACCCCGATCCTCCCGAGCTTGGTCATCGCCGCCACGAAATCGCCGAACAAGGCACCCTGGTTAGACGCGCAGTAGTCGATCGTGTTGCGTGACCTCATGTCGGACTAGAGCACTTGGTCGGAGCCCACTGGCGAGGGGTCGAGGAAGCCGGGGTCCATGGTCGCGTCGCAGCCGATCCTCACCGACAGCAGCCGATCTTCTGTCTGCGTCCAGGTCCTGCCGCGTCATGCGCCGTGGCACATCACTACCGCGCCAAGATCGGTGGCACGGCAGACCCTGCCACGTCACCGGTCGACAGCCCCGGTCGTTGCCACGTCATCCTCCTGCCGCGCGCACTATGCATGACACGGCACAGGCGTTTCGCCGCGCCATGGTAATAGGTGCGGCAAAAAATGTTAGTTTTGAAAAAAAATAGTGTTAGATTTAAAATTAGTTTACAAAAAGTGTTAAAAATAAAAAAATCTCTTGAGGGGTCATGAACGACGGCGCAAGTGTGACTTTGTTGTTCTGACGACGTCTGTTGTCCGTGTGATGTGTGTCGCTTGACTGGCTATTGCAGAGAAGTTTATGTAGGATTGGATCTTTGGTGTGCAAAAGTGTTTGTCTTACTTGTTTCGGTCGGTTAAGTTGTTTTGTTGTTTTGTTGTGTTGTTTAGTTGTACTACCCAATCTAGGTTTCTTCTTTTTAATATAATCGGATTCGTTAAAAAAAAGAATATTTATGATTTGTAATTGACGAACAACATCTTAAAAGCAATTTTATTACAAATACTTTTATATATTTATACACTATATAAAAGTGTGTATATATATCTTGACTAATTATTGACCAAAGCTTATAAAAGTTTGACTTTTTAAAAAAGATGAACTATATAGGAACAGCGAAAATACTTGTCCAAATCAAGGTCAAAATGACTGAATTCTAGTTTATACGAAGAACTTTTTGCTCATCTGACCATGTGGATCAAGATCATATAACTAAGAGCCCAAGAAGGTTCCCGAGGTTTCGGATTTACAGCGAAACGGGTAGAGACCAAACCGATCCGTAATCGAACGGCCACCATCGCAAGTTCGCCAGATCGAACGGCTTGCGGCTTAACGGGCGACGTGGCACGATGGATAGTCCGCTTTTGGAAGCAGGATTAGTATATAGAGATAAGAAATATCATTGCTGAAGATAATTAAGAGAAACATATGGATAATTCGTCAGGTGTACTATAAGACAAAACGTTCCTGCATTGTTCGGTACGTCGTCCTAGGAACAAGAAAAAAAATTGCATTCTGTGAGCATTTCGAAACAAACACCGCAACCGTGTCATCTCGGATTATTTGAGCAGCATTTATTTCTCTGAGAATGGTATATTATGATATTCGGTTCGCTGATTAATTTCTGGGCTGATAAGTCTGGGTGATGCTAGTTTATTATGAGAAAAAAATATTATTAGCTGACTAACTTATTATTCTTCTTTTTTTGGGAAATATTACGATATTATTACCGTGGTGTGTGCGTTTGTACAGATGAAAATGCGGGCGACTCACACAGCACTATGGATCCGTTTGACATGACGTGGCGGGCACGCCGTCCGTGGCCTCAAACCATCAATAAGCGACGGGCCCGCCCGGGGTCCCACCTGTCAGTGGGCGTCCCACGGTTCCCCGTCAGCGCTCGGCACCGCCGCCGCCGCGACCCACCTTCGTCCTTCCCTTTGCTTATTTGGCTTCTTCCCTTCTTCCCTGTAATGGCGGGAAGGAAGGAAGACGCAGACGCCTCTCTCTCTCGCTATCACTCTCTCTAAATCGGGTCGAATTGCTTCGTGTCTCTCCTCACCGAGGACGGCGGAGAGAGAGACAACAGACGAGGAGGAGGAAAGGCCCGGCGCGGCGGAGAAGGTTCGGATATTTCTCTCCCTCCTCCTCCCCCGCTCTCACTCGTCGTCCCGAGTTCTTAGATTAGATTAGAATGATGACTGCAGCTGGAGATCGATCGATGAGGGACGGACGGACGGGCGCTGCTTTATTTAGCCGCCGGCCGATCGTTCTCTCCTTTTCCCGGCATTGAATCAGCCTCGCGGAACCCGTCAGGCCGTCCGTCCGTCTGTCCTCGTGTCGTTGTGGGTGGGGTTTGTTGATCTGATTCTAATGCCTCTTCTGTCGTGCCGGTCCGTATCTCAATTCTGAAATTGGGGGGTCGGCGATGCGAACAAACTGATTATTGGGTAGACGACGAGGAGTTCCCTTTGTATCGGGCGATCGATTATCGGGGTCCAATTTGTTTGGTTGTCTTTTTCTCCTTGTTCCTTCCGTCTGTTAGACGGAGCTGTATTAGGATTGTTCTCTAGTCTCGGCATATATATATATATATATATATATATATATATATATATATTAAGCCGTCCTCTGTAATGTGCGATCATATTATTTTCTGTAATCAATCTACCACTGTTGACCGGGCGATTTTTGGAGTTTTGGTTGACGCCAAAACAGCGGCGGTCATTTCGATCCATCAGTCCTTTTTGCTGTCCGCTTTTATTTGTCCCTTTGGTGGTTTGGCCACATAAACTGTTTCTGGTTTTGCGATCAGCGGAGGAGAAAAGGACCGATCATATGCGTTCTCGTTGATGAAGTAACAAGAGGTTATCAATTTCGACTCTTACTTGCATTGCAATCCCCAAAATTTTTTTCTGATGATGAGAACTATTCCCAGAATCGGGCCAGGTTTGATAGTTTTACAATTTTGTTGGCTTCTTCTCGTATGAGTACTAAATTTCTGTTAGTTTATTTATGTACCCTTATCGTGGCAACTAATATTTAGATTTCCTCTGCTTTTTTGTGCATCTTCGTCATAGTTGAGATGTATCACATACTCTACGGATCACGTTCCAATTGGTCATCTACAGTGCTTGGCGTGCTTGTGGGTGTATAAGTGGATTCACCTTTCAGCAAAAGGCAATAACGTCAGCTAGAAAGGGAGGGAGGGGGGGCACCAGGCTACCAGTAACTTTATTTCTGGTGGTTTTTCATCCTCCCATAAGCTTTACGGTTGTGGGAAGCACCTCAATACCTAATCCATGTGTAGGAGTCGATATTCATAGGATTTACCTAACTGGGGATACTTTTGAATCTATATGCCATTGATTAGGCTAGATTTCCCATTTGTACACGCGCAGCAGACGTCAACGTCAATTTGGTTGTGCTGGTTCAGTTTTGTCAGAGCTCTACTTCATTCTTGAAAGCAAATTTCAGCAACTACTGTTCGATGGTTGCTAGCTTGTATTTTTCGTTTCTTATATATTTGACCTCTGGCCTGCACTCTTTGATGCCTTGGTCTCGATGTGGGAAATACCTTGTTTCATCTAGTCGTTTATTCTTCCTTGTAAGGCTGCCAAGTTTTGCACACAAAAGTAGCATTGGTCAGATACTTCTGAGTCATGTAGGCTTAGGAATATCTCTTCTCCATCATTATTGGTTATGCATCATTCGCAGTTTTGCACCACCTTTTGATGTGTGCCTATTGTTTCAGGCTCAAACTGTAGTTCAATATCTTCTATAATATGCGCAGGGAAGATGCTTGTTTTTCTTACGCTGATTGTGTGTGCAGTCGTCTCCATGTGCCATAATCTTGTCCACTGTAGTCAATCTGTCCAGAAAAGTTTTTGTGTTGTCAGTTCAATTAAAGTGTGACCTGGCTGACTTCAAATGTTCAACTTTCACTAATTTAATCTGCTTCTTATTTCAGTTGAATACCTGATATGGATGAAACCATGGGAAGGAGAACAGTCAGTGGCCTTCTTGTCACCAAAGGCGGCTCAATTCTTGTATTCAGGGAGGAAAGCCCACGCCACAAGGCCACCGCTTGTTGTACCCGCCTCGGGTGCAGCAGTAAGCTTTTCCCAAACAAAGACAGGAAGACACGCAGGGCATCCATGGAAACATCGGCTCTTCAGAGATCACAAGTGTTGAGGAAATCCAACAGGATATCCCCTCAAGGAAGTATTTCTTATGATAGAAGCACCAATAGGAATACAGCAAGTACTTTTGGTGAGACTGACAATGTACCAAGACGAAAAGAAAATCCCGGGTGTGATCTATTGGTTCGGTTGAAAGAAAGGGTCAATGCATCCAGGAAACGCTCATTGGGTGGACTGGTTAGTCCTAAAATGTCATCAACAAACACATCAAGCAGTAGCCAATCGATTTCAAGATCTATATGTCGGCCAGCTTCGAGAATGAGAAAGGATGGAGGAAGGGGTGCAGAAGCTATGAGGATGCATAAAGCCAGAGAGAGTAGTGGTAGCTCTAGGGAAGATGTGTTGACAAGAAATTCTAACCAAGATCCTTCAGACAGGTTTCTATCTCGAAGCTTGTTGAGGCGCAGGAGTAGACTTCAGCAAGGGCCAATATCATCATTCGAGGATACTTTAGATGATTCTAGTGAATACTGGCACTTTGATATGGATGACAGTGAAGAGGTATGTCTTTTTATAGATATCACCATAAACAGTGTTGATAATCCAACCATTTGAATTATGTATTTGATAAGTGGTGGTATGTCGTCTAGTCCAGTGTCTCCCTTGTTTCAAAGTTTTACCTTGTTCATCAGTAAACTTCGTCATCACTGTTTCAATGATCCCTTCTTCCATTTTTCCTACAATCAACCTGTCTGTAGGAAGTAGTGTTCTGACTATTCTGATTAAAATGATTCATTGAGTTATTATCAATGCTTTTCTAATCTATCATTTATTAATAATGTGAAATGTGAATGTGATGACAGTTGACAGAAGCAGTTCATGTTGCTAGTAACACTGATCTGTAATGTTCTTAATAATGACATTACGCCTTGCAGGTTGAGGATTACTATGTCTTTAATGATCAGCATAGAGGAATGAGAATGGACATTGATGACATGTCCTACGAGGTACATCTATTCTTTGGTCTGTCAATGTGTTACTGACATCCCTCCATCATATTTTTGTAAAAATCCCGTTTGTCTGCTGATCGACATGAACACATCATGCGATAGGACTTGCTTGCGCTTGGGGAGAGAATAGGTACTGTAAGCACTGGCCTTTCAGATGATGCGCTTTCTGAGTGTCTGAAGAGAAACCTCTATGTGCCCACAACTTCAAGCAGCCATGAAGATGGTGACATCAAATGCATTATTTGTCAGGTATTTTCGTATACATTGTGACAGTACATTGCTTACTGTTACCATTAGTTCGTCTATACAACTGATTTTATACTAAAGTTCTATACTCCTAACAATGTTAGAGATGTGAATTATAAAAGTACAATCCTATCACTTGCCCTATCAAAGTACCATTAGGTGCCTCAGAACCTATTAATGTATTGAGCATTTGGATTTCTGAAGGGATCACTCTAGTCTGGGCATTCATAATAGAGAGAATAATTTCCTTAGGCCTTTGGCCCTAAAAAGAGTCACTTCCTTTTTTTTTTGAAAAAACACTTCCTTTCTTGGCCCTTTTACTTTTGAGGTTACCTATTTGACCCGAAAGCTATCTTTAGTTCCTTATATGGCCCTTCCACTAGTTTTGAAACTTAACGGTGTTAAGTCAGGGACAAAATGAAGATTTTACCCCTGGATGAAAAATGAATCAGTGCAAAGTTCAGTTTGTCTGTGTTTAATTTTGAGCAATATTTCACAAGCTTGTCGTAATTGTATAAAATAAGGAATATTAGTTTTGAACATGGAAGTATATTGCCCTTGACTAAATATTGCTCAAAATTAAACACAGATAATTCTGAACTCTGCACTGATTCATTTTTCGCCCAGGGATAAAATCATCATTTTGCCCCTAACTTTACACCGTTAGGTCTCAAAACTAACGGAAGTACCATATAAGGAACTAAAGATAGCTTTTGAGCCAAATAGGTAACTTCATCAAAAATGAAAAGGACAAGAAAGGAAATGGAACTTTTTCAGGGCCAAGGAAATAACTCTCTTCATAATAATATTTAGGTGAAATACACTCGACTGCAGGATAGTTTTCAGTTAGAGTTTGCGTTCAGTAAGACTAAGGATACAGACCAGTAGTTTTATACTGGTTTTACCAGCAGCTATAGAAACAAAAGGATAATGTTTTTCTTAAATGCATGATATCAAGAAAGTAATAACGAGTACATCACCAAAATTAGGGGTCAAATCAGGCTGAAAATCTAGAAACTGGTGGGCCTTCAATAACCTGTTGCTGAGACCCAAAAAAAAAAGTCATAGCATACTTTGTTCAAGAGATATACATATTCTGCACCAAGTGGTATCTTATTGTATTTCCTTTTGGTGTTGTTTTTTCTAGGAGGAGTACTCCTCTGGTGTGGAGGTGGCCAAGATGGCATGCAAGCATTACTATCATACCACTTGCATCCAACAGTGGCTTCAGCAAAAGAATTGGTGCCCGATTTGTAAATGTGTCGCTTCTGTCATCAGCTCAGAGTGTTCTTGACAAAAAAAGTATCAGTTCATTGTATCAAATAGGACTACACAATTTTTTTTTGGTTCTAGAACAAATTATTCACTTCAATCCTAAATTGCTCTTCAGTTCACACTACACTTGCCGGAGCAAAGCTATAGGAAGCAGGAAAATAAGTCCTAGAAGAAAGGATTTTCACAGTTTTGATGTTGAAGTTGAAGACTTAAAGTCAGTTGAACTCTGCTTTTCTTTATCTTTATATATAAACGTGAAAAATTCAGCACTACTAGTGCAGTTTTTGGTTGCCATTTCTCTCTCTATTTTTTGTAGCTTTCTGCGCTGGTTAGCTTGATTTGTTCATTTGTGGATGTGGTGTACAGATTTGTTATTTTTAAAAGAAAACAAGAAACTACTTTCGCGTGTCATGGAGTACCTGAGACTACCTGCTCCTCCGCTCCGCGCATCAAAAATCTAACTTAAAACATTTAGATTTGGATAAGGTACATATATTGAATGTCTAGATACATTTACGAATTATTAGCTCGAATTGGCAGCACTATGCACTACTTCAGTTGCACTGCAACAGTGCTCAGTGCTATTGTATAGAAAGTAACATGCATCTTTGTGGGGAGTGCAGCTGCAGCTATAGCTATTGTTAGTATCCAAACACTTGTCAGACTGACAAATATCAAGAGTAAAGTATATGATTGGTGGTCCAAACTTGTTTACGTGTCATATTGTATTCATAAATTGTATTGTTTTGGTTCTCAAACTTGGTCTGGAATTCTAGATGTGTTATGCCAGTCCTTGTAATCACAAATTGCATCATTTTGATTCTCAAACTTGTTGAAGTGTGTCACGCTAGACCTCATTCTTAAATTGCATCATTTCAGCCTTTAATCTCTTTTTGGTCTCAATATATTGAAGATTTCAGATGCTAAATGATTTAAAATGAAAAAAAGTTTCAACTACAAAGTTTTAGGACTCACCAAGCTCTACAATTTTGATAAAGGGTATCGAGTTTGTTTGAAAAAAATAAAAAAAATTGAATCTCAAAATGGAAGAAGCTAATGCACGGCCGGCCGTAATATAGTCCCCTGCACGACCATGCCATTTTTAGTAAAGTGCAACTTATTATATTCCTTTTTCCGGCAAGCATGCTAATCACGCTGGCCCTGGCTTGTTGGCGCACGGAAGAAAATTTTCCCGCCGTAACCGAGACTAGTCGCGGCGTGCGCGGCCCAGATACCGACCATGGTTTATGAGAAAAAGGCAAATCAGGCCCAAAATATATGCTTTTAGGTACTGCATGTATACGTTCAAAAAAAGGGCAATATATTCAGAAAAGAACACATTTACATCTGCAGTTATCTAGAGCACAATAGTGTACATCTAGTCCCTAGGAAAGCACACATTTCCGCATCTTTTGTATACATGGCCTCCACCTTGCTTCTCGGTACATGGCCTGTATCCTGCATGGTAAAAAAAGATAACATGTGTCATAAATTGTTGCTGGATGGAGATAAAAAAAGGATGCATATGTTAAAAAAATGAAAACCTTATGTTGCCTATTTGAGAAGATATTATTGTTCCTGGAGCCTAGGTTGCTGCTGGTAATACTGTAGTAATTAGAAGGGCAGGCCTGATGCAAGCGGTAGAGTCTTACCGCCTGTGACCGGAAGGTCCCGGGTTCGAGTCGCAGTCTCCTCGCATTGCACAGGCGAGGGTAAGGCTTGCCACTAACACCCTTCCCCAGACCCCGCATAGAGCGGAAGCTCTCTACACTGAGTACGCCCTTTTTTATTGCATTTGCTTAGGCAATTTAAGTATAATTAGTTACTCCCTCTGTCCTGCAATACAGTGCGTTCTAAAAATTCTAAGACAACTTAAGGGAACACTCAAATGACGCATGTACCCATAGATTATTCCAATTATAGAGTTTCTCCTCAAATTATGGCTTCCTTTTTAACAAATCTTGCCAAATCTAAACATAGTCATTATGTAGAATGCATTGTATTTCAATACAAATTTTAGAAGTCACAATGCACTCTATTTTAGGACGGAGGGAGTAGGCAACAATGTCTTCCTAAATAGGCAATTTATCCTATTCTTACTAGTAAAAAAAAAATTTGGCGATCACTGACCAACTCTTTTGCTTAAAGATACATAACTGTAATTTAGTCTATTCTTACTAGGCAATTTAGCATATTCTTACTAGGATATTATAGATGCATAATACATGCAAGTCATGATAGCTTAAAGGTACATCACTATATCATGAAATTCAGAACACTGACTGAAACTAAAACAAACTGCAGGCTAAGTTACAGCATGTTGCTAGTGAATAAAAATGATTAAATCTTAGCTGAGAGTGATCACATAAACACATCAATTTTGGTCCACTGAACTGCGGTTGGTAAACAAAAAATTGCAGAGAGAAACATTACCTGAAGTCCTGAAATTGTTGTTGGAGAGCAAATGTTTCTGCAGAACTGCTACTGCTGCTACAAAATTACCAAGCACTCAAAAAGAGCTAGCAGGTCAGGAAAACGGATAAATAAATCAATACAAACAGCAAGCAGCTGCAAAGAAGCTAGGGAGAACATGGCAAGCGGCTGCTCAAACCTGAAGAAAACAGAGCTAAGCTATGCAGTGCCAAAAATGCTGCTTATGCTGCCCAATAGTGGCCTAGCTGAGGCTGCAGATAAGAACTGAAGCAACCAATCAACAGAGAAAGCAGGGATCTGAGAAAGCACAGCAAGCTGCATTTTCTTAGACAATTTAAATATCGTTCATTAGGCGACAATGTCTTCCTAAATAGGCAATTTATGTATTCTGAAAAAGCAAGTTAGTGTCTGTGTTCATTTGCAACCCACAGCCCCACCCCCACCCTCTGGTTTATTTGCAAAAAAAAATACACAGCTTTGTTTTCATTTTTCTATGCATCGCACCTATTTGTGTAACGGGCAAAAAAACCGATCATACAGAGGCAAGGTGATGATGTAAAAAAAACTAGTTTTGTACAAAAGGCAGACTAGTTTAATGACTGAACAGAAATTATCAGCACAACAGCAGAAAAAAGGAAAAAAATGATCTGTCAGCAACAATATGTCACCTGCATTAGTCAGCACCCCCTCCCAATCTCTGCTTCCCTACTCGAGAAATAGAATCTCAGGCTTCCCCTTGTCACCTGCACATGATGGCATTAATAGGACAAGGACAATTATGGCCGCAAACTAACATTCCGTAGGTTGATGTACTGAACTTTGGGAAGGCTAGTTTTTAATCCTAAAGTAGACAGGCAGGTAATGGAAATTATGGTTATGGCTGAGAGCAATAGGAGGAAAGCTGTAGGAAGAGATCAACTACAGGAATGAAAAACTAAAGAACTAACGAACAGGAGTGCACAAATGGAAAACTAAAGAACTAACGAACAGGAGTGCACAAATGGTGGACGCACAAAATTTAGAAAGTTCACCTAACTGTGTACATCCAGAGAATAATTTAGAAAAGTTCACCTAACTGTGTACTTCCAGGGAAGAAACGTGACTGTTTTGATCAACACCACTGCACAAAAATACTACCAGAAAAACAGAATTCGGATATTAGCTTGTCTGAGGGAGAGCAGCATTCAGGAACAGAACCAGTAGGGGAACCATGACGGTCCTCAGTTGCTTGCATAGAGCCATCCAGCTTTCTGTTACCTTTTGGTTTATCGGAAGCATTTTCCCTATTGGTAGCAGTGACTCTATTTTGGGGGCAGCTGGGGAAGGCTGGTTGCCCTCTAGCTTCGAAAGGTGCAGGTCGAGACTCCTGAGTAATTTATGTGGGGTATTCAAGGCACTGATATCTTCAAAGACTAGGATTTCATAGTTCACTTAGGCGCGTAACTAAAGATACTTACAGCTGCTGATCCCATTGAATTGTCTTTGACAGATGGGTGCTCCAACAATGCTGGCCAGGTTAATTTACTTTGAGGCACCTATTACATACGACGTAGCATTAGAAAAGAAAAAGGCACAGATGAACTCATTAGATGTGATCTGGTGGGGAAATGCCAGTAATGAGTCTATGACCTTGTTGAGTAAACCCTTTAGGATTCAGGAAGCTCTTAAAGTTTGTGCTCATATTATCTGGATATTTTACAGGATCCTAACATATCGATGAAATCATATAAATCAGTTCTGACAATTTAAAGATGCAAGCATAACAAATAAAATAACTAAATAAGCCTGGTAACCTTGACAATGTGCCAGATAAAGTGCATAGACTGAATTTGTATAAAAAGGGGGCTGTCCAACAAACAGTTCATACCTGCTCAACCAAACAATAAATTTAGCTTGATAGATAGATTATCAAACACAAAGCAGAGTAGATGGCACCAAGTTGAACCATGTGCTAAGGCTAGCAGTATATTATTAAGATTAGAACTGCACAAGGAATGTGATACAATAGCATCCAAAATGTAGTAGCATGAGAAGTAAGTCATAATATAATTGATGGGGCTCCCTGTTTAGCCATTTCACCTAAAAATACACCAAGGTTTTTATATATAAAATTAGAATACGAACTAGGAAAAATTAGGATAACAATCACAACATCTTAATTTCTCTAGCTATACCATCCTACTGGTGCTGGACGCCTAGACCTACTCGATTCAGCATTTGGTGATCGGAAATTGGGCAAAACTGGAGAACTGGAAATTCGATTTAGCACTCACGGATTCACAGGATGGATCGGATTGGGTGATTGGGGATTTGTTTTGAGAGTTGAGACTAGAGATGGAGAGCAGGGCAGCCGTACAGCTCCAAGCCGCCAATCAGGCAGCCAACGACAGCCGCTGTTCCCTCACCAGTTCTGGGACCAAAATCGATATGCATAACAGCAAAGTAGGTCCGATTGAAAACTCACCTGAATCTGCGGTCAGTGACGGGGCTGCGCTCGTGCCGCGGGACAGGGGCGCTGCCGCGAGGTACGCGATAGGGGGCTGCGATGCGGAAGGTGGTCGGGATCCAGGAGGAAGAGGAGGAGGA